GTGTTCAACTGGCTTACACAGAAGCTGGAAACGTAGTACAACAAGCCGTTGGGTCAATTAGAACAGTTAGTTTCGCGGTCTTTTAGAATTACATAGATTCATGTGTTAAATTTCAATATTTTGATGTTCTTTGTTTATTCAGGTCGTGGCGTTCACTGGGGAGAAACAAGCAATGGAAAAATATGAGAAGAAGCTTGAGATTGCTTACAGATCTATGGTTAAACAAGGGCTATACTCTGGTCTAGGCATTGGGATAATGCTGGTTGTGGTATATTGTACCTATGGTTTTGCGATTTGGTACGGTGCTCGGCTGATAATGGAGAAAGGATATACTGGAGGTCAAGTCATAAACGTGATTATGTCAATCTTGACTGGAGGAATGTGAGTAAAACGATTACTTGTCCTTGAAGAAATCTTGTGATACTGAAAGCCCTAATTTTTTACACATTCAATTCACTTCGTAGGGCGTTGGGGCAGACATTGCCTTCTCTTAACTCTTTTGCGGCCGGAACAGCTGCAGCTTACAAAATGTTTGAGACTATCAAAAGAAGACCGAAGATCGATGCTTATGACATGAGTGGTAAGGTTTTGGAAGAAATTAAAGGCGACATCGAGCTAAGAGACGTGTACTTTCGATATCCGGCTAGACCTGACGTGCAGATCTTTGCTGGATTTTCGTTGACTGTACCGAATGGCATGACCATGGCTTTGGTGGGACAGAGTGGTAGCGGAAAATCAACTGTGATCAGTTTAATTGAGAGGTTCTACGATCCGGAATCAGGAGAAGTTTTAATTGATGGGATTGACTTAAAGAAATTTCAAGTGAAATGGATCAGAAGTAAGATTGGTCTCGTAAGCCAAGAACCTATACTTTTTGCGACCACAATTAGGGAGAACATTGTTTACGGCAAAAAAGATGCGTCCGATCAAGAAATTAGGACCGCGCTTCAGCTCGCTAACGCTAGTAAATTCATCGACAAACTTCCGCAGGTAGTTAAACTTTAGTTATAACCAAGTTGGTCGGTATAAACCAAGTTTAGATTTCTTAATTCTTTGTTCTCTTTTTCCAGGGTTTGGAAACGATGGTAGGAGAGCATGGGACACAATTATCCGGTGGGCAAAAGCAAAGGATAGCGATTGCGAGGGCGATTTTGAAAAACCCAAAAATATTGCTTCTTGATGAAGCTACAAGCGCTTTGGATGCAGAATCTGAACGCATTGTTCAAGATGCTCTTGTAAAGCTAATGCTGAGCAGAACCACTGTAGTGGTGGCTCACCGACTTACCACAATTAGAACCGCCGATATGATCGCTGTTGTGCAGCAGGGAAAAATCATTGAGAAAGGTTAGAGTTTTGAATAATACCTTACACGACAAGTAATCAAAGTATTTTTCCTGTATATGAACAAAATTTTTATCAGGAACTCATGATGAGATGATTAAAGATCCCGAGGGAACATATTCACAGCTAGTTCGTCTACAGGAAGGATCTAAGAAAGAAGAAGCCGAACCAGAAAAGTGTGAAATGAGTTCCGAAATTGAAAGATCGGATAACCAAAATGGGATCCATAGAAGGAACTCATCAAGTAGCCGCCATTCCTTGACTCTCACATCACCATTTGGTTTACCGGGAGTGATTAGCTTGAACCAGACGGAAGAGTTCCCCGAGAATATCCCTTCCACCGAAAATCAAACGGCCAAGAAAAGCAAGAAATTATCATTAAGAAGGCTTGCTCACCTTAACAAACCAGAGATTTCGGTTTTGTTGGTCGGTTCATTGGCTGCAGTGATTCACGGTATTGTGCTTCCTGTCCAAGGTTTGCTTTTGTCTCACACAATCAGGATATTCTTTGAGCCTTTCAATCAACTAAAGAATGATTCTCATTTTTGGGCTCTCATTTTCGTCTCCCTTGGCTTAACAAACCTGATTGTGATTCCGTTTCAAAACTACTTCTTCGCTATCGCTGGAGGAAAACTAATCAAACGTATCAGATCGTTGTCGTTTGATAAAGTTTTGCACCAAGATATAAGTTGGTTCGACGATACTACGAATTCTAGGTAATGTAATCAAACATCTTCATTTTCTTTTTGGTTTCAGAACTGTTTTAAGTTGTCTAAATTAATATTGAGTTTTTTTTTTTTGTCTAGCGGTGCGATTGGAGCGAGGTTGTCCACGGATGCTTCCACTGTGAAGAGTATCGTAGGAGATGCGTTAGGGTTGATCATGCAAAATATGGCAACTATAATTGCAGCATTTATTATAGCGTTCACGGCTAATTGGTTATTAGCTCTAATGGCCCTTCTGGTGGCACCAGTAATGTTCTTTCAAGCATACTACCAGATCAAGTTTATAACGGGTTTTGGCGCAAAAGCAAAAGTTAGTAGTTAGTATTCAACAACCTTGGTTAATTTCTGGTTCTATCTAATCTAACATGGTTTTTACTTCGATTCAGGGAAAGTATGAAGAGGCTAGCCAGGTTGCAAATGACGCGGTGAGCAGCATAAGAACAGTTGCATCATTCTGCGCAGAGGATAAAGTGATGGATTTATACCAAGAGAAATGTGATGTACCAAAGCAACAAGGTTTCAAATTAGGACTCGTAAGTGGTTTGTGCTATGGTGGCTCATTCTTGGCTCTCTATTTAATCGAGTCCTTATGCTTTGTCGGCGGTTCCTGGTTGATTCAGACCAGGAGAGCAACGTTCGGAGAATTCTTTCAGGTATTAAAAAGAGTAGAAAAAAAGTTATCAGGTTAGATTATAATCCGGTTTGGTTCGGGGTTGTGATATTTGTGGTTTTTAACCTTGCAGGTTTTCTTTGCGTTAACTTTGACAGCCATAGGAGTGACTCAATCTAGTGCTATGGCACCTGACATAAACAAAGCAAAAGACTCTGCTGCTTCGATTTTTGATATTCTCGATACTAAATCGAAAATCGACTCGAGTTCCGAGAAGGGGACAGTACTACCAATCGTCCACGGGGATATCGAGTTGCAACATGTCAGTTTCCGGTACCCTATGCGACCGGATATACAGATTTTTAGTGACTTGTGCTTAACTATCTCATCTGGACAGGTAACAAACATGAAAATTAAGGGAAATTTTATTTGTTTCGGATTATGTGTACTAAATTGATATGAATGGTTAATGATTTTGGTTTTCAGACCGTTGCATTGGTTGGAGAGAGCGGGAGTGGTAAATCGACGGTGATAAGCTTACTAGAGAGATTCTATGATCCAGATTCAGGCAAGATTCTTTTAGATGAAGTTGAAATTCAATCGTTAAAATTGAGTTGGTTAAGGGAACAAATGGGTTTGGTTAGTCAAGAACCGGTTTTGTTCAATGAGACAATAAGATCAAACATAGTATATGGCAAAACTAGAGGAGCCACTGAGGAAGAGATTATAACCGCGGCAAAAGCGGCTAATGTGCATAACTTCATCAGCTCATTGCCTCAAGGCTACGAAACGTCGGTTGGTGAACGCGGCGTACAATTATCTGGTGGTCAAAAACAGAGGATCGCGATTGCTCGGGCTATTCTCAAGGATCCTAAAATTTTGTTGCTTGATGAAGCAACAAGCGCGTTGGATGCAGAGTCTGAGCGGGTGGTGCAAGATGCTCTTGATCGGGTGATGGTGAACCGGACCACGGTTGTGGTGGCTCACCGGCTTACTACGATTAAGGACGCGGATGTGATTGCGGTTGTGAAGAACGGTGTGATCGCGGAGAGTGGAAGACATGAGACGTTAATGGAGATTTCAGATGGTGCTTATGCTTCGCTTATAGCTTTTCACATGAGTGCGAACTGAAAAGGAATATATTTGTTGTTAGAGAAAATAATGTTTTAATCGTTGAGGCTAAATCTTAGCTAGTGAATAAAACATTAAGTTACATGTTATTCTTGCTAGGGAACCTTATGTTTTACCTATTTATTTGTAATCATAGATAGTAAAAGTTCCCGCTGGCGATCTCTGCTGCAATCAACACAAACTCGCAGTTGCTTCTCAGTGACTCAGTCAAGATGAATTCGATCCTACCACATAACCACTACGATACTACTACTTCTTTCCACTGCGAGCAAACGCCAGTGACAAGAACCAAAGAAAATCGCGGTGAAAAAACTTCACCTTCTAATTTCTTTGGGTTAACGACCTGTGTCCCCTTAGGAAGTTTCATATAGTATCACAACTACACAGAATTCGGACCTCGACCGCAGTCCACACAGATCAGAAGTTAAATTCCAGTTTCCCCCCAAATCAAAAGTTCAAAACCCAGTGGAATAAACCGAATTGAAATCCTTAAACTTAATTAAACATAATCGAGCAATGAATTTTGTAATTAATTTCAAAATTTCATTAATTTTCCGAATATATGTTTTATTTATAAGGTTTTATTACGTTAAGATTTGAGTGTCTTTCAATTTTGCCGAGTTCTCCGGCAGCTCAACCATGGTGACTCGCTTAAGACTCGTTTCGAGATCTTCTCGTTACGCCACCGTCAAGTTCACTGAGTCTGTCTCACCATAATGCTCATGTCGTCTCTTCTCAGCCTCCACCAATTTCTTTATAATAGAAACTTAATTTTCCATTTATTAAAATAAATTTATTATAAACTGACAATACACTACTATATAATCAGGACAGTTGGGACTTATTTTTCCATTTTTGTCAGATACAACTTAGCCAAAACGTAATAAAGGATTTTGACTTTGCCAAAACGTGAAGTTAAAACTTAAAGCGTACATAAGTGATTTTTTATGTGAAAAAATTTCTAGATTATAAGTGATTTTGATAATATTCTGTTTTTACCATCATCTAGATGCATCTGTATACACACAGTGTTAAAACTTACAATTTAAAAGTAATACGTAATTACGAGGAGCTGCCCAAAAGAAAAAAGTATTTACTCGGGATAAAGAATCATTTAGCAGTTCTTTTTAGAAAAAAGTTCAAAAAGTACTCCCACATCATAAAACTGATTTTTTTTTGACATAGTATCCATATGCGCTTAAATGATGATTTAATTTATTTAAATACTTTTGAATTTACCAAAGCGGTTCATGAAATAATCCAGTTTTTGGACGGTGCAATGTTATTACATGGATTGATAGAAACATAGTCTGTTAAAGAGTGAAAATAATGGGAAATTGGCCAAGGCGTAAATTTTAAGGGTTTTCACCAATCAATACCAAGGTTCTTGGAGCATAAGAGTTGATCAACATATGCAGTTACTGGTATCGATGCAGTAACATAGCTTTGCATATGTATCTTAGCCGACTCCTCTGCAAAGATTTCAAAAAGAAATAATCAATTTTGTGTCTAATTTACGGCCTCAAAAGCATATTGTAGAAATGAAGACAAACGAAAATTTTCCAAACGAAAATAGCTTGAAAACTTTGTAACCATTAAAATAAAATAAACTGACAGAGACTATACAATATCATGTTAAGATTCAGAACCGGCCCTGAATTGTGAGAAGCCTAGAGCGAATTTAGAAAAGGTGGTCCTTTCATTTATTTATTTTTTCTTAGCCTAAACATAAGAAAGTGTTGATAGTAAAAAAAAATAACAAAAAGCACTTGATCACTTTGAACATGACGACTGCCAAAAGAAAAAAGAAAATCACATCGACCATGACAGTTCATTACCATTAGGCCAGGATCGAATCAGGATATCAAGCATTTTTAAGGTATCCGGATCTGGATACGTTTTTTGATTATCCGGATTCATATCTATTCTATCCGAATATCCGGATTTAGGATATCCATAAAAAAAGCTGCAGATATCCGGATCCGGTTTTTTTTATATAAAAATATTTTATTAAAATAAAAATTTGAAAAAGATAAAAAATTTTATTAATTTAATAGAAATAATTAGAAATATTATTAAAATATTATAATTATATAAATAATAAGAAAAATTATCAATAAAATTTAAATAATAGTAATAAAATATAAAAAATATATTTGTAATATAAAATATCTAAGACCGGATATCCGGTTTTAATTTTTTTCTATTATCCGGATTTGAATCCGAATCCGTCCCACCGGATCTCCTGTTTTTCGGAGCGGATCCCAGATAAGTGGTCTCAAGGCTAATTACCATAGAATCTACTTATATATATATGGAAAAAAGATTATTTCCTTCTTTTAAAACAACCACTTAAAATGATTGACTGGTACATGCACATCTAATATTTTATATCTATTGGTTAATTTAGTGAGCATTTTATCCTAGTATTTAGTTATTTTAACAACTATAGAACAAATCTCATTTATTTATTTTGGCAAAATTTGTATTTTATTTTGTTAGACAAACAAAATAGTATTGCAATTATATAATTTTGATAAAAATATGTTTATAGTTTATTTTTTACAAAATACTTTATGAAAATAAACCACGGTAAAATGTCAAAAAGCCTTTTTTTGTTTTGTTTGACTTGGGGATTTTGAAGGACTAACACTGAAATTTATTCGGCCAAGTAAACGCAGAGTTGGGAATTTAATTTTCTAATGAAATATTTGGAGATAGTTTCATTTTTACTATTAATATTTTAATTATTAATTATTGAAAAGCAAATACATCCCAAAAGTATTAATTTTAAAGAAACCCATTGTGAGAAATTAACCATCCATACTTGAGGTTAGATCAGTGGCGGAGCTACCTAATGAGGAAAGGGGGAGGGGTAAACTGACCCCCCATAGATTTATATTTTTTGTTTGCAAGCCTATTTAGGTATTACATCATTGCAAATTTGGTTTGATATTGGTAATTTTGACCCCCATGTCTCACATTGAAGGTCCCCTTTGACCCCATATTTCTCTTTTTCTTTATAATTGTTTTTTGGTATCTTTAATCATTTTTTTTTTTGTCTCAAACAGATGTTTTTTTTTGTCTCTTTAATCTTTTAAGGTTTTAATAGTAACTCCTATCTTTTTAACTAATTAGTTTTTGTTCTTTTTTCATTACTACTTAAAAAAATACATCTATTTCATATCATTTGTATAAAATGAAAATAAAATTAAGAAATGAAGATAACTGAGTCACATCTAATATGAGGTGTTAAATATTGTTAAAGCTATGCATCCATTTAATCTGAAAACAACTGTAAGTCATAAAATTTGTCATAATAATGATATTATTCTTGATTATATTTTATTTATATTAAAAATTCAAAATAATTAACCTTATTTCATAATATTATTTTAAAAAAATAAATAATTTACTATTATTTTTTAATTCTATTAATATATGACACTCCGTAATATATTATTCTGATTCCGCCACTTGGTTAGATTTATCAAGAATATACCTTGTTAAATTTCATAAAGTTCTTTTGTGAATAGAGAAGTTGATGGTCAATATGTCTTATCTAATTTCCAATGTACGATTGCTATTATAACAAAAGAAAAAACATTTACTCACCTGTTTCATTGATCATGCACAGTAGCAGTTCCCTTGAGGGGAGAGATTCCATTCCTGTCTCAGCAGATTCCTGAAGAGCAAGCCCATGGTGCTTAGCTAACACTTTATTGTAAGCCTTGTACGCTGCATCCTTTAGGGAGCTATTAGCGCTGTATGTCATATTCAAACACATGTTAACCAAAAAAACAAAATTTAGGCAAGACGTTGATATATATTTTTTTTACAAGACACTTGGACTATCTCCATCAAGAGTTTTTTGATGGATTTCTCATCAATAAAAGAAATAAATATAATCAAAAAGGAGGAGAGATGTTGAGATTCGTTTCTCATTTGAGAAACCTTAAGTAACGTTTCTGAACTTTTAACATACCCATTTGACAGTTGTCATTGTTTGATTGGTTTAATTTTTATCTATGATTTAAAAATTAAATAAATAATCAAAATAAATAAAATATTATATTTAAGATACCCAATAGGTTTCTTACTAAAGCTGATGCTCTTATACATGCAATGGATACTCAAAAAACTAGCATGACATTGTCCGAATAACATTTATAATATGTATTGCTAATGCATTTTTTGATTTTGCACTTCGCAATAGACTCTATATATAAGAAGCTTATAAAGAAAATTGAGTCTAGAACTAGAAGAACACATACTTGGTTGCTATTATCTCTTCGAATAGAACCCTGATCATTTCAAGACCACGCTTTGTTTTTAAAAGGTTTCTTGTATGACTACCAGGTTTTTTTGCGCGGCCTGCCTTGATATCTTCGTCAACCATTACCTCTAATGTCGATATTGAGCTCGATGCCTTGGCAAGATCATTAACCTGAAATATTCGCGTCAAAATAGACGCATCCAAATTTCAATATCTTCATTTGACGGTCCAATAATTCCGAAGATTGACTTTGTTGTAGATTTCAACATCATTCATATAAAAGTTCTTAGCTAGGAACACAATTAACTCGTCAAAAAAGAAAAGTTAACAATATTGCATTCCCTATATAATTTTCAGAAATAATTTCATTGCTCTCCTCGATCAATCAAACATACCTTGGCAACGTAGTCTGTCTTGACAAACTTGAAGGCTATTTCAAGGACACCAAATAGGTTCGAGAAGAGAGAACAAGCGTTAGCGAACTGCTTAACAGACACGTCCGGACTCGGTGAACTCACGATGACCGCCAATTCCTTGAAAGCGTCTGCAACTATCTTCAGTGTCATTGCCTCTCAATTTTTTCTATGATATTTCAATTGATAACAGATCTGTCCAAAGGGAGAAATATTGATCGGATTTTATAGCCAAATGACACCCTCTCATAGTTGACCAACTTAAAAAATACATTATTATTACGGTTGCTATAATTACTTATTTAAATAAATAAATAAATAAATATATCTCTAATCTGTAGTGTAGTTGTTACCGCTCCATTTTCTTGAGAAATAATCTAATATATCATACGATTAAGTTTTTGTTCTATAAATATCATCACCTAAATACTATTTTATCTCGTATAGGAAACTACTTGTGTATATATACTTCTCTCTTTTATTGAATACAACAACACGTTACAACCAATTTCGTGGTAACTCTCGACATGTACACTCCACTCCTCACGCACTTTCGCCAAGTTTCTCCGAATCAACTTCCACGTCATCGGTCTCTAGTAAGATCATGTATCCATCAAATATTTGACTGAATCTGGTTTTTTAGCAAATCACATTGCATTTATGGCTGTAGGTCTTGATAGCACAGAACCTAAACACTTTAAAGATGATGTTCTCATCAAAAAATGGTTTCGGGCCTGGGGAGATTACGGGCTTTGGCCCAGAACCTCCTGGTATTCAAAAATAAAAATAAAAAAATAATAAAAAATAATAAAAAAAAATAAAATGGTGTAAACTATAAAGCTATGCAAAAAGAATTGCTGCACTTGAGGAGAATCACAAGTGGGATATTACTGACTTACCTCTAGAGAAGAAAGCACAAAGCAGCAAATGGGTGTACAAACAAAAATTTAACTCGGACGGAACTCTCGAGCATCATAAAGCTCGTTTTGCGGTAATGGGGAATCATCAAAAAAAAAAAAACAGATTATAAGGAGACTTTTGAACATGTTGCTTAGATGACTATAGTTCATACTCTTCTTGGAGTTGCCACTGCAAAAGATTGGGAGGTTCAACAAATGGATGTCCATAATACTTTATTACATGGTGATTTTGAAGAAGTCTATATGAAGCTTACTCCTAGTTTCAAGTTGTCGGATCCTAGTAAGGTTTGTAGTCTTCGCAAGTTGTTATACGGTCTTAAGCATGCTCATAGGTGTTCTAATAGTTCTCTAAATTTTCTACTACTCTCCACGAATTGGGTTTCACCCAGAGTTATCAAAACTATTAATTATTTGTTTTCTTTGATCCAAGGGGAACACGTCTTACACGTTCTGGGCTATGTAGACGATTTCATTGTCGCATGCAATAATCTTCATGCTATCAAAAAGTTCAAGGTTCAGCTCAACAAGTGTTTGCACATGAAAGGTATGGGCAAACTCAAATATTTTTTTGGGCATTGAAGTCTCTCGTGGTCAGGGCCGGCCCAAAAAATTTGGATGCCTAAAGCCCAAAATTTTTTTGTTGCCCATTTACCAACAAAAATACAAAAAAATGTTAAAATTTCGGTATAATATGACTCGAACTCGCCACCTCCTGCTTATAAATGAGACAATAACCACTAAACTACTAGACTTTTTCTAACAAATTATGCCCCTTAAAATTAAAATATAATCTGATGCCTAAAGCACCTGCTTGATGGGCCATACCCATGGGCCGGCCCTGCTCGTGGTAAAGATGGATTTTGTACCGCCCAACATTAATGTCAAGATTTGACCACCTAATTTGTGCAACATGTACTTTCTTGGACTTATAAATCGATGGGCCTCCAAAACACTAAAGTGATCCAATGGGCTAGATCCGGTATCAACACTCATGCAGGAATTGGCGAGGAGCAATGTCCACATAGATTGATGCGTTTGCTTGCAACCAGACATATGATCTTTTCCCTCGAAAACCTCAGTATAATGTTGTCAGATGCAAATGGTTTAAAAACAAGTTTTTACCTGATGGTTGTCTTGGCAGATGTTATATGTTTTGTTTTTATCGGTTTTAAGTCTTCTATTATTTTATAACTTTTATAGAGTCAAAGTGTGTTTTTAAATTATTTTAGCCCTTTATCGAGTTTCTGCAAGTTTTAGGTTGCTTCGTAGGAAAACAAGCTGTTTTGGGATATAAACACACATTTGGAGATGTAGTTTTGTTTAGAAGTGTCAGACGTTTGGCCTCAGATAGAAGATTTTCCACTGTTAGATCTTTCTATATTATTTACACAAGCTTGATAAAGATGTTAGCTTGATTTTCCAAGTGATTTGAAGGAAATCTAACGGTGCATTCAAGCGTTATACCCGAAGTAGTGAAGACATGTCATTCTAGCGAGCATTTGAAGCAATTGTAGAGTTGGACACCAGAAGCTCCAGATAGATCGATCCATTTGTGAATCGATCAATTCACACCCTCTGATGGACGAGAATCACCTCCAGAAAATGTTGGATCGATCGGTCCACCCACCATATCGAGTCCTGACGCCCAGTTTTGGTTTTCTTTAACCAGTTTTATTTTCTATTTTTCGTAATTGAGTATAAAAACCCCTGAAACCTATTTTTCACATTCACGCTTCTTTTTTTAGAGCTTTTCTTTTGTAAGAAACCTTGGGAGAAGAATTCATCCTCTTTGACAAATTGGAGAAAATTTCTAAACCCTTTTTCTTTATTTATCAAGTCAATCATATTTTCTTCTATATCGTTATTCCTTTTTCTATGAGTAAGTAGTCATCTAATTGGGTTTTAGGGATTTCATAAAAGGGATTGATGGATTGTTAAATTGAATGATTAGTTATTGGGTAATCTATGTTGGTTTCTTCATCTTGAATGCGTTTAATGCTTGAATTAGATTGATCACCTGATTTGAGAACCTAGGTTGTTTTACGCACCAAAAGTGTGTGATAATATGCCTAAATGAATTTGAGATGAGCTACATTCTTCTAGCCAACAAGAGTTGATGTTAGAAAGTGTTGTGAATTTATTGGACTTGTGTTTAATGATTATTTGATTTTATGATTACAAATGAAAGTTTAGTAATTATTGATGTCATGTTTAGGGGCTAATTCTTCGAGAGAGAATTAGTCTATTTTCGTGATCTCGAAGATCTCAACTACTTTTTATGGCTTGAAACTCATACCACGTCCAAGGGTCTTCATTTGTCGGAGCGGAAGTTTATTCGGGACCTGCTCCACACCTACAACATGACTAATGCAAACCCAGTGACCACACCTATGGCTTCCTCACCAAAACTAACTCTCATGTCTGGTACGTCGTTCTCGGACCCCACTGCTTATAGGAAACCTGTGGGAAGCTTGCAATATTTTGCTTTTACCAGACCAGACATAAACTACGAGACAAGATTGTAGTGACAACAGCTCCTCCATCTTAAGGGGGCGTGTCAAAGATACATCTGTATCATGTATTCAATACCATGATATCTTCTTTCCTTGTAATAGTTCTTTCTATATGTGACGTAACCTAGAGTCTCTCTTGTACTCTTTATATATAGTCTTGTAATCCCTATTGTGAATATATGAGAAATATACATTCTCTACAGGACGTTTCATCTACTTCACCGTCACACAAACTGATTTGAGCTACATAGTTCATATTCTCTCCCAGTTTATGAATAATCCTCTAGTCGCTCATTGGGAGACATCACTTTGACTGGTTCGACATCTCAATGATTCTTCTGTGCAAGGCATACTTCTACGATCTGATACCAAACTTACGATTACCGCCTACTGCGACTCTTTCATCCTATGTTTTTACTTAGGTAATTTTCCTATCTCTTAGAAAAAAAAAGACACGGTTTCATGCTCATCGGTAGAAGCCGAGTAGCGTGCAATGGCTTATACGTTTAAAGAACTCAAATGGATAAAGACATTTGGATTTGATCATCAACACTCATTTGAGTTATGTTCTGATAGTCAAGCCGCAATTCACATTGCTGCAACCCGGTCTTTCATTAAAAAATTAAACACATAGGGTCAAATTGTCTTCAAGTACAAGACGATGTATAGGACAAACTGATAACTACAAAACACATTTCTACCAAGGACGATTTTTGACATTGTTTAATTTGTTTCGTTTATCTTTTTAAACGTTTACAACTTCTTTTTACTCGGAAATATTAAATTAAAATTTTGAAAAATACAAAACGTATATGACAAATTAGTGGAAATATCTCTATCTAAAACAAGATCTACAGCTAATAGTAAACAATTGAATTCAGTGAATCTTTTAGATGATACTAAATCATATACAATATTAAATTCGATCAATGTAAGAAAATATAGTTTAATCATCTCTGATTCTAAGCCCGAACATATTATAGGCATTAATTTGTTGTTTAAAAACATAATACAGACAAATATGCATCATCACTTTAGATAGATTAATATGTAAAGAGTTGTTAAAAAAAAAAAAAAAAGATTAATATGTAAAGAGAATTATAGAGCTACACGACGGAGCGATAAAATAATCAATTTTTGTTTTAATTATTGAAGTAGGAGAATGTTTTTCAAGGTCTACTGTTGTAATCGTGGGTGGGTGTCATTTGACAATGTATGTTTTAAGTAATTATTTTTGTTTTTTGGAAAATTTCAAAAATACATTTTTTCCAATATCATTTTTTAAAAATGTTCTTTCGCTAAAATCTTTTAAAAATATATTTTTATAAGTGAGAAATTTACTCAAATACGTGTGTAACGATATTAAAGCATACACAAACTATTTATATATATATATATATATATATATATTTTAAATACTTTAGAAATACCATATATATACTTTATCAAACTGTATAAATACATTGTAAAACCTTTTAAATTAATTATCTTTAGTGGACATGTGGCACATTGTAGAATAATGATGTGACATTCATATAGAGAGATTTGACCTATTTTCATACATGTGATTATATATTATTATATAGGATTTTGTGCAAAAACACCCGCCAAGTCGCCCATTTTTACAATTTTACCCTTCATTTCCGAAAAATATAGATTAATCATACGAAGTCCAAAATAAGACGCAATAGAACCCTTATACATATATTGTAAACGTTTTTCCTGTCACATACATTAGTTTTTTAAACTTCTAAAAGTAAA